TGCATAAAATTGCACTTTTATCTATTGCTAAATAATATGGAAAATATTTGATCTACCACATAGGACTTATAACCGTGTTAATGCTTTGCTCAAGAGTCATTCCCCCATATTACCCTTGATTTTGTTTGTAGCTTTAAAACTCAGAAAGGCTGCAATAGAACTAAATTGACAGTATGGAATTGTTCATTAAGTGACTGTTTCAGAAACGACCCAGATGTTGTGCTCCATCCTCAAAATAGGTTCACCACCATGGAGCACCATGGATAGCTCCTAAAAAGCTAAAAAGAGCAGCTACGGTGGATAAGGAGCTCTGCCAACATGGGCATCACCAACCTGTGCGTGACCCATGGCATGTGTCCCTGGATCCTCAAGGAAGCCACTTGCACCGGCCGGGCAGCCCTGTTTTTTGCATACTCATGTAGTTACTCCATTTCTATACCCCCTTTCTAAAACCCACTAAGGCAATGTACAAAAGGCCCCAAACTTACAGACCATGATCAGATAAAAACATTGTAAAACACAGCAAATGCATCTTGTGTGTCCAGAGGACAAGTTGCTCCAGTGCTTTAATTATGGGAGAAAACATCGGAAGGGGTCATTAGTGAAATCCACACATTGGTCCTTCCTGCCTAGTATCACTAGCCCTACAGTGAAGGAAAAGAGGTAAAACGAAAGGGCAGAGGATAGTCACACTGCTGTGAGAACCACAGGATGGTTGGTGATGCACAGACCTACTGTTACAGCTGTAACTGCCCACCTGTGATCGATCCATGCCCTTCACACAGCCACTGGCATCCTGGTGCTACCCAGAAGCCAGGAAGCTGTTTGCCCTTTCTGCCAAACAGGAGGGATCCGAATTCCTTCACAAATAGGACATCCTTGACACGCATCCGGTTTTTTCATCTGTGTCATAGCACTCTCCCCATGCACACTACCGTGTTATCCTAGGCTTCTTTACCTAGGATCCATTATCATCTTGACCAAAGCAATCTTCATTATTCTGCTGCCATCTTGAAAGAACCAAATTTAGTTAGGAAAGCCATGCATGGCCGCTGGGACACAGTGCTGGAACCACTTTCAGCAGGAGAGACACCAAATGATGGCGCTGAGAATATTTTAAAAGCTTCAGTAGCGGAGAGGAATGATGAAAGGAATGGGTATGGATTTTTAACCATATCTGATCTTTTAATATTTTAATAAGCACTTCACATTTTGAAAAGTTAGACATGAAGGTGTGGAATATGGATGAAAGCATACGCGACAAAAACCCTTCATAGATGCCCTGTATTTTGATGGATACATACTATAAATATGTTCCTTGCTGCAGCCAAGACAAGTTCCTTAATTTGGCCCAATTTATAATTTGCTCCAGGGCTTGAATTATGGGACAAAATAATAGGGGCGGGGACCTTTAGTGAATGCCACAAACTGTACCCCCTGACTCCTACACCTTGTATCCAAATCTTCTAAAAACAGCTGAGAAGGGGACTATCACAAGCGCTAACAAGACCAGGCCTCTATTCAATTCCCCACCCCCATAATTTGGGCACCGGATGCTTTCGATTGTGTGGAGGGGTTTGTTTTGCAGTTGTTGCTGTGGACTCCGCCACCCATGTTGTTCTTACAAACCCCAAGATCCACTCACTCCATGTCTACATTGTGTGCATCAGAAATTCCTAATTAGCATGACAGCCATTAGAATAATCCTCCATCTGAAAGCAACCCAAATTATTTTCATCCCGCACAAAGCTGATGCTGTCTCATTTTCAGGATTTTAGGTTCTTTGCATTTGAAATACAGAATCATAACATGGAAAGAAAATAGTATTTGCCTTTCAGCAAGGAACCCCATATTATTTTAAGTTTCCAGCATTTATCGTGATTAGTAGTATGATTATTGTTGTTGTTGTTATTGCTACCCACATTGTTATGTCATCTTGGCAGGTTGGTAGGTATTTTAAAACTGTAGGAACGTGGCAGTAATTTAGCATCCTCCAGCAGTGCTACAAAAACATCAAACAGCACCGTGAATATCAAGTCAATACAAATAACTATATTCCAATGCGCCTGTTGTTTCTAAACTTGAGCTGGTGCTAAATATTTGCTTAGCAAATTCTGAGACTCAGCCGAAGCGTAACCTTACAGCAGTGCATTAAACAATTGTCATTCTGTTCCATAAAGGACCTCATTTGGCTCACTGCAAACCATTTGAAATAGAAATCATTATTATGAAACTGCAGTTCTATTTTATTTTATGGAAGCATATTGATTGTCAAATAGACAATGTCTGTATTTTGGTAATAGTCTAAAAGAAGAAATCTTGCCTGTTTTATTTTAAAATCCTTATGCCATTACTTGCTTTCATTTCAATAAAAGATGGCATTTTCAGAGATGCTACCGTAAATGGCTTCATTTAGTAAAATTGCCACGTGGAATAATAATGTTACACCAGAGAGCAGCACTTCGTAATTTGGTAGAAATAACATTTTTCGTTTTTAAAAAACCCCATCTCTTTACTTCTAAATGAAAATTACCTTCCTGTTATTTGCTAACAGGAGAATAGCCTGTATTTCCACAAAATGCATTGGAATGTCAGAATCTGTGCAGTATAAAAGTGCCAATTAAACTAGGAAGCAAATGAGAACACTGTTCAATGATATCAAGTGTTTTATTAAAAGTCCTGTCATTCTCTGGGATAACTCCATCAGCAGAACAATCTGGTTTACACCTGGGCAAGTTCCTTATTCTTGGTAGCAAGAAGTGATTAATAGATGTTTGGGGGTTTTATTAGCTTGACAGGAGTCTGGCCCTTGCACCTGGGTTTGTGGTTCCTTCGAACCTGGACTACCAAGGTTACCACAAATATATCGATGACATGCTTCCCACTGAAAGCCCAGTCCATTATGGCCTTCATCCCAATGCAGAGATTGAATTCCTGACAGCGACTTCAGACAACCTGTTCCGCACGCTGCTTGAGCTGCAGTGCCAGGAGTCCATCACTGGGGAAGGAGCTCCACAGACGATGGAAGAAAAGGTGAGTTTAAAAGCAGAAATCCAGCTGCATGTTGTCCACCAGACTAGTACAAACCCATGACAGCCCCGCAGGAGGGAGCAATGTGTGGGTAAGGCAGGGGGGTGATCATATCTTTGTCACAAGGAAGTGGCTGAGCTAGGTTTTGCAACACAACAGAGTCCACCCTGCACCAGTAATCATCAGGATGGCACTGCAGGACAAGTACACAGCATCCCAGCCCAGCGTGCATTGCAGGAAGTGCATACCAGCTTCTCAGGCTCATTGCAGGCTCTTCCTCCCTCTGTTCTTAATTACTGTCCTTAATGAATTACAAATAGGCAATACCGACTGCTCAGACACAATACCGGACAAACATGCCAAAGTTTCCCAGTGCTCTGGAGCATTAACAAACATACAACCAATGACAACACCCCCCTCCAAAGTGTCAGTGCAGGACTTGGCCCCAAGCATCTCATGGCCTGCGGCCATGCATGACTTTCTCCCAGGACCCACCCAGTCATTCTGGTGCAGCCCCTGGGCCTTCAGCTGAAATGAGCCGGATGACATTTAGTCTCCTTCCCTGGCTCTGCTTGGGGAAGGTTCACGGAGGCAGCAGAGATGCCTGAAATGGTGGAGCAGAGTTTTATGAAGTTCAAGTCATTCTGTGCAATCAGTTCATCTGTAAAAGAGAAAAAGAAAGCTACTTTCCTTTAGTAAGAAAGGAAGAAAATGTGACATTTTCAAATTGAGGAGATGGTCTTCTAATTAAAGGACACGTAACTGGAAACCAACTAGATCAGATTTTTTGTGTGTGTGTGTGTGATTTTGATTTATACAGGTGTTAATTTAGTGTCATTAGTTATCCATAGAGTTCCACAATTTAGAATCACCACATAGTGTTTTCTGTGCAGGGCGATCTTTGTGCAATGTGTGTACTATGGCACCAAAGAAAAGAAGCTATGCAATAGATGCTCGTGCTTTTACTGAAATATTTTTCTCGAAAACAGTGTACAGTTTGTCTGTCTCAATCAATGACATCCCTTCCTTCCACTGACACATTACTGGGGAACTTGCAGAAGACCAAAGCCGAAATTCTATGCGTACCTACCTGGAAGCAAATTCCGCTCAGTTCTAGTGGGCATGTCTCTGAGTAGAGAAGCACAGAATTGCATAGTGGGGGTTCCACCCCATTTCTTGTGTATGGTGAAGCCATTTGAATAGCACCTTTCTCAGGACTACTGTCAATATTTCAGGTGTGGTTCTTCTCTGCCAGTAGTGATGTTTGGACCCAAGGGCATTAGTTATACAAAGCTTTTAATTGCAAAATGTATTCACAAACATATATCTTGTTTTCCCTAATACTGACATAGGCTCCTGGGCTGACATGCATATTGTGCCAAATGTTGAAATGAACACTGAGTAAGGAAAATTTACCCAGTGCAAGGAACTTTCTGCTTCACCCACAGTCTGAAGTGGGGTTTGGGGAGATTTTTTTTGAAGGAGTTGCATTTAAAAAAAAAAATGACAAAGCATCCAAAAGTAGAAGGAAAAAAATAAAGGCTATAGCCCTTAAAATTCATTGAATATACATATTTTAACAAAGACACACACAACATATATATAGATAATCTGCCCTTGCTCAGTTCTGAAGAATATGCTTTATCATTTCCAGCACAAATATGTATTTGCAATCATATCTGAAATCAATAGTTTCATTCATTCATAGTCCAACTTTCAGGGATAAATCCTTCCAAGATGGCATGCAAATAGACACATTAATGAAATTATTGTAAACAATAAATGAGGCATCCGTACTAATCATCATTATGATGAAAAAGACATAAGGATCTATCCCACTGTGCCACTGATGGTAGAAGGCTTTGTCAAGGGAAGGGAAGGGAAGGGAAGGGCAACTTTGGAAGCGCACAAACAGTCCTTTTGGTTTTTGTTTTTCCTTCTTTCCACCCCTTGTTTAATGTGAAATATAGTAGTTGCCTTTCATTGCTCTAAAAGACAAAGTCACAAAAATGGCTGGAAAACACAGAAGAGGTCCTGGAGGATGACATGGTGGAAACAACGCATGAGGGATCACGAATACACAATAAATGCCTAATGTAGAAAAGCGCTCAATTTGCTACAACCTCCAAGGTGTCAGCATGCTGCAGTTTCACAATGATTATCAGTGCGACTGACATTATTATACAAGTTCATTTCCCTAAGAATGGCCCAAACTTCATTAGTCACATTTCAGTTCAGAACTGGATTCCATTGTAAACAATAATTATGATATTGACACTCATAGAAAATGGTATAGGCTATCGATTTTCTTTATTATATTTATATCCCACTTTTTTCCTTTCAAGGAACTCAAGGTGGCTTACATAACTCTCCTCGTCCTCTCAATCTTAACTCTTGAGTTCCAGTCCCATACTTGTAACCACTACACCACACTCGCTCTCAACGTGCCTTGTTATTATCTGTTTGAGCTGGGTTTATTCTATTAGATGCTCTCTTTAAAATTTGTTCTGGCCTTTAGTATTATGGTAAGTTTTGAAGTGCAGGTGCTCATCATGAGAGTTCTCATAGCTACAAGAAAAGCCCCAAACACAGGCAATAGTGTTGATATCTCCCCCCCCCCCCGTGTGTGTGTGTGTGTGTGTGTGTGTGTGTGTGTGTGTGTGTGTGTGTACACCTTCACCAAGCAACTGTAGCACAATGCCCAATGATAAGCTTACAAATGGTAGTGCAGTGGTGTGTCTATTATACCTTGCCTGAAGAGAGCTGAGATTGCTTGGGAAATGGAGTGAGCATGTCCCTAAAGAACAAAAGACCATCAGCTCAAGATTTTCTAGGAGCTTCTTTCCTGGCACTGGGAAGAAGCAAATAGTCTCAAAAATTGACAAACTAGTTCCTTCTGCTTTTGTCTCCATCAAGAGCAGGTTTTTGTAAAGCTAAGCCAAGGTCCCCAAGCTCACCAGGCTGGGCACACTGGGAATTTTGAGAAAGAGACATGGATGCTCCTACCCATGCCATGGGAGGCTTGCCCATTGATAAAATGGCTATCCTGGCAGACATAACCAGTCACAAAACCCTAATTTTCCAAAAAAGCAAACTGGTGGTAACAGAGAGCCAGAGTAAGAGAGCTTTCCAAGAACCTCAGTGTAAGAGAGCTGGCATCTGTGCTGGAGAACAAATAAAGATGGCACTGGAGCGCGCCATGCCCCCTGATTTTATTTCATTTTTTAAATAGCTTAGATAAAATGACAAGTACAAGGGGCGGAGAGCCAGGCAGGTGCACCATCCTGGAAACCTCAGAGTTAATGCCTCTTAAAATCCCATTCATGATCAAGCCACCCAAAAATACTGAATCCAAAATACCCATATATTAAATTGTGAATAGAAGCAAATATAGCCCTGCTAGTCCATGAGAAAAAACTCGATATCCACAGTACCTTTACTGGCACCAACTAAAATGCCTCAGAAGCATGCCACATTTTGAGTGTTCCAGTTGGCTGGGAGTTTCTGGGGACTGAGGTCCAGCGGGCTGGGGAAGGATGTGGTCTCGATTGTGCTCATGTGTTGCTTGTGAACCTGGGAAGCAAACAAATGGCTCCGCCAACTTGCAAGCTAATTTTTAGAAAGGTAGTTCCCAGTGAAACTTTTGCTAGCATCTTTTCTGCCCCTTGCAGGTAAAACTAATATTAGATGATATTCAAGATAAGCTTCCAGAAGGCTATAACATGGCTGATATTACCTCAAAAACTACAGAACGCACTCCATATATCCTGGTTTGTTTTCAAGAATGCGAAAGAATGAATATGCTAATACATGAAATAAGGCGTTCTCTTAAAGAACTTGATCTAGGCCTTAAGGTGGGTATGATTTGCTTTGCCTCTTTTGCGATCCCCTCAGTTTAAATAAAGTGTTCTGGATTGGGAGAGCAGCATGAAACATTGGGCTGGAGCCAAACTGAATCATACTTAAAGTTGACCTGTTGAAATCAATGGGAGTCAGGTTGGTCATTACTAACTTAAGTCTTACTGATATCATTTAGGAGGCCAGGTGTCCTACTTTACAGAAAACAGTCCTCTGGTTGAAGTGTTCTCTATTTGATGTGTTGTTTAGTCCAAGTTAAGAACAAAGAACCATAAAAAGGGAAGCTTTGAAGGGGCTTTGAAGCTGCAGGTCACCTGGCCACAATCTTCTGAGTGTGGCAAGATGTACTGTATTTCAAGTTAAAGTTAGTATTCTAAATTTGCATATATACATATAAATTAGTATAGGCAGGTGTTATGCATCGGTGACCTCTTTTGCGCTCTTTATTGGTATCTGTAACCAGCCACCTTAATTAGATTGTGTCTATACTAATTATGACTATGTCTGGATCTAAACCTTAGAAGAGAAAAGTCTATTCCTGGGATTAGCTGCATCCATTTTGTATTTAGCGGCTTTTTCACTTGACACAATGGGAGTAGTTTTATTATGACTGTGATCAGTTTTGACATTAGAGGGAAGGTTACCAAGTGCCATCACATTAGTTTCACTTCAGCAGAAGACAAAGGTGATTTTCAGTCAAACTGGGATTTGAAATTCAATTTTCTTAGAAGGCTTGGCAAATGTAGAACTGCCATTGTCTTTCAGAGTCATCCGGGCACTGAAAATCCCAGCAAAGTAAATTGAGTTTCATATTTTTAGTGGGTAGTAAACCTGAAGGAGTCAGCCTGTTCTGTGAAGACTGCATCACGCCATTTCAATATGAGGTTTTTCTCTGTAATGGATTCAGATCTAAAGTCCTTGTAGTATGTGGTCTGTAGTTGTAGGCCTAACAGGTGTGAAGATACCAATGCAGCAGTAGGTCAAACTTTCCTAGATCTAACTTAAGATCAGTATTTGTTCTTTGCTTAATATTGTTTACAAGAGATAAAACCGATTGAGTAAAGAACATTCAGAATGAAAGGGGTGGGAAAGCGTTTCTCCCAAAAGGAAAAAGAATCTGCAGATGCAATTTATGCAGTCCAGTTTCTGATCAGAAGATTATACATTCACGTTGCTTTCTGGATATCTTAGAATAAATTGGAAGCACAAGAAAACTACTTTCTTTTCCAGAGCCTTCTAGATCCTTAATTCTTTCAAAGCAGGGGTGCTAAACCTCTTTCAGCTCAAGAGCCAAATTCCACATTCAGAGACTCTCTTGGGCACTGCATTCAAGCCCAAGGTGGGCCCACAAGCCAAGGGAGAGGGGCCAAAAATGCTAGCATAGTTTAACTGAAAGCCCTTACTTCCAGTAACCAAGCCTGAAGAGAGGGATTTTAATCTCTTAGAGTAAAGATGGCGCAAAAGCTGGGAAACCACCATTGGAAGAAGGCAAAAAGGGTGCTGCCATCTGGGGAACCCAGGAAAAGCCTGGATTGGGACCACAGGCGAGAGGTACCACATGGCTGCACTTGAAGCAGCACATGCATTTGGGGAAAATTTGCCTTCATTACACATCTGGCTGGAGGAAAACCCCTTTGGTAGCACAGCATCCCTGCTTCTGCACCTGAAGAAATTTGCGCTTGGGTTCCTCCTGCCAAGCCGCCTTCCCATCAGCTGCTCTCCTGCAAGTGGAGAGCTTGGCTTCTGGAAAGGTGCGTTTCTTAACCATTATATTTTGGGGCATCATTTTTTATTATTTGGCCTTCTGCATAATTTATTATATAACAGACACATAATTACTGTGTGTAATGTTTTACAGATACTATGATTGTATTTAAGAAATGCCAAGGAGATGGAAATGGGTACACCTCTACTTATGATCATTTCATCCCATTTTAATAAATTACTCATTCTGATTTTAAGAACCAAGATATTTTTTAGGTTTGACAATGTAGATACCTTATGTGTTTCTATTGCAGGGTGTGTACGTGGGGGAGGTTTCCATCATTTATTGTGTCATCTTATCACAATGTCTTTGTGAGATGCAAATAGCACACTCATGTTTTCTTTTGTTAGGGTGAGCTGGCAGTCTCTGCTGAGATGGAGCAACTGCAGGCAGCTCTTTTTTTTGACAGTCTACCTGACACTTGGATGAAACTGGCTTATCCATCAACATGCAGTCTCACCCAGTGGTAAGTCGCATGCCCACAGATAGTTGTGCAGCAGCAGAGAGAGAGAAAAGACAAGAGAAGCAACATAGACTCTGCTTTTTCCCAACAAATACTATTCCTCCAACGATGTATAGCAGCTTCATGCAACCCGGCTTTCATGACGTCCTACAAAAGATTTCTGTCTTTTCTGACGTATTATCAAAGATTTCTCGCATGTATTAATTAGAGGTTTGAAGCAGAGTTCCTGGATGTGGAACTTTGTTCACAGTACGGTTCTGAAGTCAAGAGGGATGCAATTTTTGCTGAGTCCTCCTTGCCGGTGGGCCCTGGAAAGCTGCTCTGGAGGGTTGGGAAAATCCTCATGAAATACATGGAAAGTGGCACTGGGGTCTGTGAGGGGCTCAGTACAGATCACTCCTCCCATCCACCTCCTACTCCTTGCTCTAGTGAGAGCCTCCACTGAAGCTCAGTTTCTTCCAGGAACAGAAAGAATTCTCCTGTCCTGGAAGGGACACACCAAACCATTGCTAGGAGCTGCAACAGGTTAATGTCTGCATCTCTGTTACAGAGCTTATCAGCAAGTCTGTAGGCCAGCTGTACTGTGTACATGTAACTAGATGGCCCCAGTGTGCTAAGGTTTTCTCTGGAAATAGTCCCGCTGTAGTAGTTAGGGAACTGAGTAATGCATGGGGGAGTGCTCACATTGGGGACCAACTCAACAGCTAGAGACCGCAGCAACCTCAGAAGCACGGTGTTTGGCTCTAAGAGGAATTCCACAGCGGTGTGGCCAAGACAAAAGCAGCCTCCATTCCACCCCTCGTGGTGCACAGAATTCTACTCTTTCAATTTTTGTCCAATAATGCCTGAGATACTCTTCAAGAACCAGTAGCTATGGAGGCAACGAAGACAAGGTTGTCTTGCGTTCTCTGGACTTGCCGTAAGGTGGCTGGATGGAGAAACATTTTCAATAAATGTGTATATTGAAGAAATGCATTGCAAATACAGGGTATACCATGATCGCCTGATACAGCAGAGTCCCAATGGCAGTATTAATGGCAATTAAACATGATGAATAAAGCATCAGAATTACCAGTCCAAGCACATGTGTTCAGGGTTATTTGACCGATGCAAACCCTATATTCAGGGTTGATGCAAGTCTGCATGGAGCGCGTGTTATTTATGTGGCTACGGGGCCAGCCGGCATTATGGAATCAAACTGTAGCTTAAGTTATAATTTGCTAGCTTTCTTTTGGAGCCAGTGTTTATTCAGAGCCAGGATCCTGGCAATGAGTGATGCAGGAGCATCCTGGTTACTTATTTTCCTCTCTGGTTGCCTCTATAGCTCATTATAGCTCTGCCCTCTGCTGTGGATTGCTCAGTGGTCTCTATTTTAACTAACCAGCTGCTGTCTGCTCAGAGATGCCAGCAGGCACGCTTTCCCCTTGGGGAGCCTTATGATACTGAATAGTCCTCCACTTAGAAGCTCCCCCTTTGGGAGCTATCCTTTTTTGGAAAGATGATGACTTAAGTAGCATTAAGTTTCACAAGGGAAACAAATTCAGTGGAGTATTGATCCTCAACCCACAGTGAATCAGCAAGCCTCCCGGTGACTGAATGCATGGAACCCACTGGAGTCCAATTTTGTAGAAAACAAGAAAAATTGTGCCAAGAAACTAGTCCATGACATCGTAAGAAACTGGACACGAGGGTGCATGTAAACCTGCCTGAGAACATCCGCTGGCTGAGTAACACACATTTAGCAGGCAAAGAAATGTGTGAGAAATCGATCCATGAGTACAGGACCACACGGTTTCTTGGCAGTCCTTGGAGAAGAGGCTTGTCGGGCCTGAAGAACCTTCGGCATAGTGCATACCACTGAGGCCCCTCCGTGGAAGCATGCAGTGGGCTGTTGTATCACGGGAACGGGGAGCGTAGCTTTCTGCCATGCCCTGAAGTGATGCTTTACTGCACACGCCAGGGCAGAGAGAGCAGTTTAAAGTGGTGTTTCGCAGCCACATGCCGCAGGGGTGTCCAGGCAGGTGCCAAATCCTGGCGGTCCTGCTGGAATGCTCCGGGTGGAAGCCGCTTGCAAGAGAAGCACCTTGCAAGCTTGGCTCTTGGTTTAGAGAACAACGCACAGACCCATCTGCTGACCTGCGGCAGGGCTGGTTTGTTTAAGCAGCCACATCATGCCTCCTTTTAGGCACCAAGGCCCTTAGCAAGTCACTACTGAAATAGTAAAATACAAACTTATATAATAAATAATACGGGTGACTCAGCCAGAAGGATTGTAGTTGTCCAGAGATTATCATACTGGGTTTTCTTGTTAGAAATTATCTTTTCTTTAAAATGTTTTGCTAGCCCATTGTAGGCAGTATATAATTTTATTTATTTTTTGTTCTGCTTGACAGCTGAAGCTCTCTGAGCAGTTCACAAAGCACATTTAAAAAAGAAACCAATGAAAGAAACCTCGTATAAAAATATATTAAAACATCATTAAAAGTTTACAATACAAAATTTAAAACATACAAAATGTTAAACAGGTGCATATGTGTGTGTACAATAACTTGAATAAAAAAAAGAGAAGAAAATCTGGGTCTGTATGTATGAATGTACGTATAAATAAATAAAAGCCACAACCCAGTATGTTCTCTTATAAAACAGCAGCCTTCTAAAGTTTTGGGGCTGACAGCTTAATTAAAGAGCCAAGGGCAGCTGGTAGCACTTCAAGGCCCACATAAAGCTCAGCGGTGAGGCAGCCTAGCATCTCTGGTGCAGGAGAAAGCTGCTGAAAGGGCCTGCCCCGAGATCCCCACCACAGAGCTGCTGTTGACAGCAGGTGCATCAGCAGGCCTCTCGGGCTGTGCAGGTGAGGTATCGGTCACACAACCCGGCCCCGAACTTATTTATTTATTTAAAACATTTCTATGCCGCCCCCATCGCAACAAAGCCTCGAGGCGGCTCACAAAGAATACATAAATACATACATAAATAATGATAACAATTTTTTTAAAAGCCATTTAAAAAAACCCCAGTGCATTCTCAGCTAAAAATTTTAAAATCCTAATTAATTCAATAATTTAACAATTAAAATAAGTTTTAAATAAAAAGGTCTTAGCCTGGCGCCAAAAAACAAATAACGAAGGCGCCAGGCAGAGCTCTCTGGGGAGCGCATTCCATAGATGGGGCGCCACCGCAGAGAAGGCCCTATTTAAGGGTGGAAATACAACGACTTTCTTTAAACTGGCTCTGAAACTAATTGGCACTGCTGCAGCCACAGAAGGGCGACTCCCGTCCCTTTGGAATGAGATGCCCATTTGGCACATCGCAAAGGTGCCTCGGGTGCTGCCACTGATGCTCTGAGGTAGAAGCTTAGGAGCCAATCATACAAATGTTTGGAATTCTCCGTATCTGTATCTGCATATGTTCGTGATGTACAATTTCATGATGCAAAAGCATATATAGTAGATGCATTTTCAAAGCATTCCCTTAGGATCTTAGTAACATAATATGTCAGCCATTAATATTTTGGAGCTTGTTGGACTCCTCCTTCCATCTGGGTGGTGTGAGTGGGGAAGATGGGTAGAGACACTGGATTTCTTCATTGGTAACTATGGGTAGCTCCCTCAGGAAGAAGCAGGAAACACTGAGGAGGTATTCTCTACCCTTGCAAGCTCTGTGTGTCTCTTCTTCTTTCCCCTTGTCCTCACACCCAAGTTGTAGCAGGAAGGGGGTAGTCGCCATTCCATGATTTTGGGATATAATCCTGCTGTTGCGGGGATTCCCCCTTTTAGGTTTTATTTTCCAGTGAGTATTCACACCCCTGTAAATTTCAAGCTTAGCTCAGTTAACTAACTTTATGCATGGAAGGTGCAGTTTTGACTTGATTTAGATTAGCATGCGAAAACCTAGATTGCTATTAGAAGGATTTGGGATGCCCTCGGTCCAACACCAGGACCGCAGTTGCTGCCCTACACCTCTTCCTCCTGTTCCTACAATGTGCCATAAAAGATCTAGTGATGTACCATCCCTATCGGATTCTAAAGAGATGCTGCCTCCTGAACGGAACCGAGATGTGGCATTTACTTAGCAGCGGATGGTGAGCCATTTGTGAATGCTCACAGTGTAGGCAGGTATTCTCAGACACGAAGCATGCAATCTGCTGAATAGTATTGGCTTGAAAAAACATGGGTCATAGGCAGAATACTGATAATGTAAGATACATTATCTCTCGGTAAAAATGACAAATATCGAAGTTAAATAGGAAAGACATGCGAGGTGGAGAAAAGTGGAATAAAATGTGTGTTTTAACTAAATCAATTTTCAGAAATACCATGTACAGGTTAATCTTTTATAAATATGTTCAAAGAATATATTAGAGACTTGCCCACCTGCACAAAATGAATGCACACCCTCGGATGGTTTTCCGAGGGAGGATAAATGAGAGAGCTGTTCTCTGTTTGATGGGGTTCTGCTCTGCATTGCGCGGCTGCTGCAGACGGGTGGGTGCTGAAGTTTTTGCTCATTCCCCCAAGGAACTGATACTGACAACTCAGTCCTACCTATGTCTACTCAGAAGTAAGTGTCCTTCTGTCCAGCAGGCCCCACTGCCAGGTAGCTGGGTACAGGACCGTAGCTTCACAAATTTTTTGAGGTGCAGGTTTGGTGGAGAACTGGAGCTTCTGCAGAAAGTCTCCCTTAAGTTTAAAAACCTTAATGAACTAAAGGGCGATGTTGCTGTAATGTTACCTTTTAAAAAATCCACTGAGTACTTCTTAAAACACGATAAAATGATCCAAGTATTTATTTATTTCATTTTAAGAATTTATTTTATTTATTTAATGTGATTCCCCTTAATGGAAAACCCCGTCAAGGCTCTTTACCCTGCCACCCACCCCAAAAACAATTAAAAACAAACCCAAATGCTTGCAGTCCTTGACGCTTGCTGTCAATAGAGTAGGAACTTTGAGCTTTAATTATTAATTTTTTTCTGGACCCCAAAATATAATTTCATAGGAAGTCGTATCTTGCAACAGTTGAGGAAATGTAGCATTCTAACTGTGAAAAAGCATGGCAGATAGCTAGAAAATGGAAAGCTTTGCTGCAGACCGGAAATTTCTTTATTTTTTTAACGTGCAATTTGATGCTCAGAGACTGAGCTGTGCCTACTCTCAGCACAGTGCCGTCAGGTCCGCATTATGGAACCGTTTGTTTGCGGGGAAATGTGCGTGCTTAAATGTGGGACACAAATGACTGGGATGCTGTTGCTCTGCATGCATGGCAGTCTCAGCACGGGAGAGAGGACAGGGTGTGTTGGGCTGAGGTCTAGCTGCGTGGCATGAACTGGCAGAAGCGGTCTTCGTCGGCCTCTCATTCCACGTCTCCTCAAGCCCCCTGAAAATGCTACATGGGGGCCCGGTGGGAAGACCCTGCTGAATGAGACGAGCTGCGGTGCAGAACGGGGGAAGGTGGCCTTAACACTGGGAGAGGCACTCTCTAGCCGCTCACTTTTCTCAACAAAAGGCCATTCTTGGATTCATGCCGGTATTCTTTTGTATCAGCCATCATTTGATGAACCTAAGCCCACCATTAGGATCCATCAGGTTGTAAGACACAATGAGCAGGCCCTTTAAGTGGTGGCACCATCCCTCGTGAGATGTATTTGGCTCTCTCTTGAGTGGGTTTCAAGAGGCCCTCAAAGATCTGGCTATTCCATACGACTTTTAATGGAATAAGATAGTTGGCCTCTGATTTTAAGGCTTGGCTTTTATGCTTATGTTATCTATCTGTTGCGTTATATTGTCCCATTACATTTTTATTGTACCTTGGGAGAGCTGTGACCCAGAGACAGTTGATACCTACCTGCTACCAAAGGATGGGGCTGAGCCTCTCTCCTGGCACCTCTCTCCCCTAGAAGGCCAGGAGCCACCCTCTTTTCCCTGCCCTGCGATTGTTAGCTGGATTCCTGCCTTCCGTGTGTTCCCACTCCCCAAGCCACACATTCATGAAGACTGCTGTGTTTCTCTTAGGCTGAGCCACATGCAGTAAGAGCTTGAAATGAAACTCTGCCGGTCTTTTGGGCAGGGTATCGTTTAGCTGCAGTCCCTACCACCACTTGGCTACAAGGGGGCCAACATGCCTTCAGGGGAGCAGCAGGCAAAGCTGCCGGAAAAGCAGGAATGCTTCAGAAGGGCCCAAGGCAGGGCATGCGAAGCCAGGGCCGGCCCTCTTAGGCGAGGCCATGCGGACTCAGAAGCTGAACAGCACTATAAAGCAGGGACGGGATGTTCTCAGCGGCAATGAACAATGCACTTATTGTTTTCCTTGCACTTGATTCGGTACCGTGACTCAGAGGGAGAATAAAGCTAGCCTGCCGCATTGACCCACGGACACTGGCGGCCAAGATGCGCATCCCACCTGCCCTGCTGCAGGTAGCAGAGGGGGCCCACAAACGCATTTAGGTGCCAGTGTGCTCAGGAAGGGGCACCCCCCCCCCCAAATCGACCACTTCCAGCCACCTCTGCCATGTTCCTTTCTCTCCTCTTGGGTGCTGCGAAGGTACAGCGATCTCCTCCTGCGTTGCCGTGAGCTCGACTCCTGGGCACAGGATCTCACCCTCCCTGGCGTTGTATGGATATCAGGCTTTTTCAACCCTCAGTCCTTCCTCACAGGTAGGAAGCACATCACACAACTCATTAGTAATTTACTGCTACAGTAATTTTTATAATTACTGCCAGGAGGCTTCATTAAATTTGATCTAATGAATAAATATTGTATTTTCAACGTGATTACCAGCACAGCTTAAGCTGTGTGCCATAAACAATTATTTTCCTCAATACACAGTATGTCAGTGACTATTGATTTCAGGGTTTTTTATTTATTTTGCAAGGAGTTTACTGTATTCGTATCATAGGGGCACTCAATAATGGCTGAATGTGAAGAGACAATTGTCAAGGGACTTGCAGTTGTCAGAGAAATAAAAGGAATAGCAACTGCAAAAAAACTAATTATTGCTAATAAATATAAGAACCGTGTATTTGATGCAAAAAATGGAGCAACAAGAGGGATTCTTGGAGTGTTAATTACATAAATCCACTTTAAGCATGCCCAAAGGAGCTAGTCACGTTTTTAAGCTTTGCCTGCTTCCCGATATCACACTACCAAGTAATGGCATAAACTGCTCTTGGGAGCGCTTTCCTTCTCAAGAGTCACTTTCTTTATAGTAGGGGTTGTGGGTGACTTTTCAGGAAGAGTAACCCAAAATAATCCACTTGGTACAAATAACTCTTTTCCTCAGTGGGTGTTTGCAGGGGGGAATTGCAAGCAATTGCTGAATTTATGGATCTGTGGGCCAAGCTACTCCATCTTTGAAATCAGCCATTTGAAATGGGTATGTTGACCATTTTAACACTGGAGCTCTTTCTCCAGTGCTCGTGGTTCCTAGCACAATCCTAGCACGGCTAGGCCCCACCCCGGGGCACCCTCAAACATTTGTATGGCTGTTGGACTTCAGGGATAATCACCGCTGAAGCCCAGGGGACAGGAGCAAGGCCAGCTCTCTGGTGAAAACTGCTCTTTGGAATATTTGAAAGGGTAGACATTAAGTTCAGAAACATGACGCGACATCATCCTTGCCAGACTATAGGGGACTGCAGAATGTGTGTTCCAGTGCTCCTATATATCAAAAGCCTGTGGAAAGCAAAAATATCAAAGGAAAGCTTACTATCCTAAATTTCTATATGCCATCTTCCATGTGTTTGAGAAAATCAAACGCACAGTACGTCCTTCAGTTTCAAGCACAAGGAACTGTGTGATGGGACATAACAAGAATTTCATTCCATTAGTCTCCCTTCGTAATTACCAACTGCACAATTGTTCTACATTGTTCTAATAGCAGTCTTCTGAGCACCAGAAATGTTTCCTACAGTCTGTTTGAGCTTGTATCTTTTTTCAGTGCCCAATCACACAAAGTTAGCCAAAATCTCCTCGTGCTGAAACTATTTGGCAACGGGAATGCTTTCCGATCCCATTGCTTTATGCAGAATTGTACAGCTGAGCAAGCCATTAGGTCTAACCTCAAGTCTCCCATCCAGAATCCAACCAGGCCTGACCCTGCTTAACTCCCAAGATGAGGCAGGATCAGGAACATCAGGCTATATGGAAGCAATATACAGCAGTGCTGTCCAGCTAGCAGTGGTTCCCTAACAGTGATCTGTCACTCCCGAGACTAATAAACCTGGCACTGTTTGCATGCTGAGTGCATTTACCCCTCTTTTTCTGCTCAGCCGAGTCTCTCCATTTTTTATTTCAGCTGTCATGCAGACTCTAGCCCGTAAAAATGAATGGCCTTTGGATAAGATGCACATAACTGTAGATGTTACCAAGAAATATAAAGAGGAGTTTATGCAGCCTGCTAGGGAAGGAGCATACATATACGGCCTGCACTTAGAAGGTAGGTGTTACCTCTAGGTGCTTTCCAAGTTTTGCAGCTGATTTAAAATAGCTGCTTAGTTTCTAAGGATTTTCAATCCTTTAAATTCCATTTTAGGCTACGATCCCATATATGTTTAGACAAAAAAAGCCCTATCACTCCCAGCATCCATCAGCCAGCAGATTTATAGGGCTTTTTTGTGTCTAATCATGAATAGGAGTGTATTTTTAAGGCAGAACGTCTGGGTAGATTATTACCACTTAACATGGAACTTGTGCCTTCTTTCCTGCTGCCATACTGCCTATTTTCTTAATGGGAAACGTTAACTATGTATTAGTATTTTTATTCCTGATTGTTCCTACCAGTCAACTGATAGGTATCTTCCAAGCATCCCAGTCTTTAATGTGTTCAGTACCTGTGTGCATGCAGTCAATGTACATGCTGGGATTTTTACACAAGGTTGCAGCTACTTGGCAATGAATGAGAGCCCGATCCAGCCATTCAAAAAAAATAGCCTTACAAATAACCAGAGCAACAGAAGGCTCAGCGATTGAAACACAGGTAACAAATGACACCTGCAACAACCCATTCTAGCACACTGCTTCTCTTCAGCGTTCTGGCCAAATGTGTTTTTCCATCTCCCGGTTCATGAGTCTCCATTTAGCTGCTGGTTTTCCTTCTTCACCACCACCTCCACCCCAACCTTATATTCCTGCAAGCTTGAGAGGTTCCCCTGAACATGCTGTTATTTCCTTCTTATGTATGAGTAAGTGTTGTTTTGGCCGCCTAAGCATGGGCACAGGTAGACTTATTTCAATATGCTCGTAACTGCTCTACATAAAAAAGACAGCATGTCAGAAAAATTAACCAAAGCTAGCCCAACAAATAAAACCAAACTGGCTCAAGAAGCGGCAAACACGCAGGTGTGTGTAAAGTGTGCTGTGAGGAAATGCTCCGTGTAACATTTCCTTTCTCCTCTTTCCATTATCCACAGGTGCTCGCTGGGATGTCCAGGCAGGCCACATAGCTGAAGCTTGCTTGAAAGCACCAACATTCGCAATGCCTGTTATTTTTGTCAGAGCCATCCCCAACAACAGGCAAGAGATCAGAAATGTTTATGAATGCCCAGTGTATACAACTAAACTAAGGGGCTCCACTTATGTGTCAACATTCCATTTAAAAACAAAGGAAAGGCCAGCAAAGTGGATTCTTGCTGGTGTTGCACTGCTTTTAAGCGTGTGATTATGTTGCTGCATTTCCAGACTCTAGAGTTCAGCTCAACCTCTTTGGCTTTAGCTGCTTGCTCCCCCACCTCAGTGAATTTGTATGCATGCACAATAGCAGGGTTTTGCATTGTCCGCTTTAAAAATTGAGTGTGAACACAGCACTACTCAGGAATCCTTTCGGGCCTGATTCTGTACGCCTTATTCCTGCCTATAGCTCAAAAGGCATTTTTAGAAAGGCGATTATTCACAATTTGCAGCTTTATTCTAAGGAACCTATGTAATAAACAGAACCATTTATTTTTGTCAGTGCTGTTATCAATTAAAAAACTGGAAGATAAAATAAACCAACACCAAATGCATTTCCGTCACTAGATTCTAGGAACAGATTACTTTATGGGGGGAAAGAAGCCAATGCCTTGATCAGAACTGCCACCTTGCATCTACAAGCACTTCTTTCTTGAAGGAACCTAGCTGTGCACATTCCACGGTGCCCTCATTGAAATAAATAGTGACCTTGAGAGGCATGGAAGCAAATGTGTATTCCACTGCAGGTGACATAAATGTGCAGGAGCTCTGCAAAAGAAACAAAGCTTTCTAAAAGAAGTTTTTATTATCAAAACTACATTTTTGTACATAAGCGCTTCAGAGATCAATGGGTCTATTTATGACACACCTTATGAAAACATAAGCATCATTACAGTACATTGCTACGTGTAAAAAGCCTGCACAAAATCTTAATGGCAAATAGGATGCTAAACCAGGTATTTCGTGTAGGACTGAGGAATGCTTGCAAAACGCCAGAAAAGCAGGATATACATTAGATTTATATAATGGTTCAACAGATTTGGAGGCAAAGCAAAATAGCCGGGAATGCCTCCCCCACCCACCGCTCAAATACACCTTCTAAAAGTAACCCTACCCTTCAGCCCGGCAGCCATGTGTGCTTCACAATGGAACTCACACTGAGTTACACAAACGTGCTAGCTACCCGAAGATGCCTTGGTTTGCAACAACGCAAGAATCCTCCGGTATTTCGTTTTTTTTTTGTATACAACATTTGGCATTTGCCACCATTCAAGCAAATGCTACAGCACTTTCTTTTCCACCTCCTTAAGTCACGCAGCCACTGATCCCTAAGGCAGAGTGTTTCCATTTCAAGCAAATGGAAAGACAAGTCAGCACAATTGCTCAAGGCCGATTACATTACTGAAAACAGTTCCCTGATGTTTGACAACATGCCTCCATGTCCTATTCACTAATACGCTTGGAAACACGATAGGCTTCCTGCCGGAGGGCAAGCTCCTTGATCCGGCAAGTCTATGCTGCAGCTGACGAACCTGAACTATCTGTGGTGAAGCGGCAACCATGAACAAGGTCACATGTGCCACCACAGACCTGTTCCTGGCCACATGGGCCACATACACTGATGTGGGAGCAACTGTTGGTGGGGCAGGGGAAAGAGGGAGAGCGCCCTGTTGCAGCAGCAGACTTCCACCCGTGTGCAACTGGATTTTACCCTTTGCGAGCACATGGTTTCATTTACGTTTTCTCTGTCAAGCCATAGACATACACTATACTGTGGCTTTAAGAACTTGGAAGAGACCTCAGAAACTTTTCACCATGCATGAACTTAACTTTATAGTCTCAGCTGCTCGTTTTCCTTTTACCTACCATTCTGTGCACTATGATGTATGAAAAACCATCCATGTTTTAAGAAGGACAAAAAACAACTCAGTGCTGTCATGAAAAAGAACCAGAGACTAGACATTTTAGTTTGATTTGAACTGGCTTGACCACTGCCACAATTCCCAATTTAAGAAATGTCAATATTGCTTTCTTGGGGACATGGGGGAAACCTAAATATGTACAGTTTAACTTGTTCTACCACATCAGTCACAGTGCTACCAAGGCATAAAGCAGTGGCTTTCAAGGATCTGTTTGGTTTGTCACTAAATGCACTGCAGGTGCAAAAGAGTTATAATAGAAATCTCAAAGGTAGCCTCTTTTCCCCTTTCCCATGGGGTAAGGGGTAGAATTGGACTGTGAGGAGCAGGTGTGTTCTGGCAGGCTCGGGCAAGTACGATGGTGGCAGAAGCAACACACTTAGCCATGTACATTTGCCAAGTTACACAGAGTCTCACCAAACAAGTCAACAGTGAGACCAAGGAAAGCCTTACAGTAAGCATGCTCTCTCTGCGAGTTACAACCCTTGGGTGAACCCACTACCATCCAAATGAGTTGAACACAGCTGGCATTACACATCAAACACCTGACAGCACCTAAAATAAAACAAGACATGGAGTGCCTGTACTCTACACAATTACAAACTCTCAAATCTGCGGTGTGGCACTACCGTCAAACGCCACAAAGGGATTTTTTCTCCATTAAAATCTATCTATGGTAAGAACAGTCAACAAAAATTGAAACTTCTGATCAGATGGATGATTCACTGTAACATGGATGGTCGCAGAATAGTGCCAGAACTTCATTCTTGCATTTCAAGTTCTTGTTTCAAACTGTAAAATTCATTTATAAAAAAGACAGGGTTATTATTTATCAACTAAAATGAAGACCACCAATAACTTAATGCCATATTGTTACAGACACAGGAAATCTAACCTTTCCAGCTCCTGCTCCCATTACTCCTTCATCTGGACTACCTGGGCTTTCATATGTACATATCCTGCACCCGAACCAATGGTCTATATACCCCTCCCTAACAAAATCAGCTATTTGTTTGAAGGAAGCACAGAACAAAAGATTAAAGTGTACTGCCAACAGAATGTGTATTCACCCTACAATTCCAAGACACGGGAAGAGGGGAGCTTGGGAAAGGAGATAAATGTGTAAGTTACCTTTTCAAGTAGGCGTGCACATTGTCATATCCATGGTACTTGGCCAAGTAAACCAGCACACCTGTAGCACACCGTCCTTCTCTCTGCCTGCAGAAGCTACAGTTGCATATCCCACGGCAAGGTGGACAGAACCAGTTCTAAGGATACATATATATGCATACGTATCAGCACAATGAAATAATGCTACAGCGCCCCACTTCCTCTAATGAGGATTGAGGTGGAATCATCTTACCGGATCCAACAAAGCAGCCCTAACTTCTTCTCCATAGCGATTGCGAAGACAAGGCCCACAGAACTGACCGCGCACTCCAAAACACTCTGGGTTACGGCAGTTTGTCTTGGTGTCTGTGGTTTTCTGGCGACACTGATGACAGGTGGAACCCTACCAAAAATCAACAGTCAAGACTAAGGAAAATCACGCTTGTGCTTGATTTAGAAAGACACTGCACATCCACCTATTTGACACACAGCCTCTGCTATGCAGACCCGCTGATCTATACACAAAGGACGCACCCTGGGGATGAAGCAGGTCCAATATATTTACAGCTTTTGAGGGCAAGGGTGCTTCAGCATCTTGACTTTAAAGGAGGACATGGAATGGCCTACAGAGACGTGAGGATGAAGAGACTACGAGGCACTATGGGTCAAATAAGTCAGCAAGTCCCATGTTTCTACCGTCCTTCATTTGTTCCAATTCCAGCCTCACTTAGCAGCAAAGAACAGCTTGCCTCTCTATTTGAACTGAGAAAATGAACCACAATCTATGGCTTACATTTAAACTGGAAATTAGGAGAAGAATTTGTGCCTGCAAGTGTAGGATTCATTCACATACTTGCATTTCAGAGTTGCACAGTAAATCCAACTGGTCACTATTCACCTACATTAGAGCAAGGCTGGGCCACTTGTGACCCTCCAGATGTTTTGGTCAACATTTCTACCGGCCCTAGCTAGCAGAGGCAATGAGAGAGATGATGGAAGTGAAAGGCCACGAAACCTGGAGGGCCACAGGTCACTCACCGCTGCACGAGAAGGATACCTCCTGCTTGCGTTATACCCAGAGGTGCCATGTATTTGCAGATCCTGTGACTGCCCAGGCAAGTACACGTAAGGGAGAAGATGAAAAACACAATACCCAAACTGGCTATTGTGACTTTTAAGCTTTGATAAGTGTCACGTTGTCCCTGCCTCCCTGCAACAGCTTCTCAAGCTGGAAATAAGGCAAGTGGCAACTTTTAACTGCAAATTAAGGGAAGATATGGATTTGCCTGGCCCCAGCACTAAAAATCCTAAAAGAAGCCTTCTGAAAGATGTTCATGAACAGCAGACTTCATCCTCAGGCTCCCAGTTAGCCATGGATAATCAAAGTGAAAAGCAAAACTCTTCTGATTCAAGATACACACACTTCCCCCGCCCCCCACCACAGCATTAAGCACCATTATCTGGGATAAACAAGTAGATACGTTAATGCACAATAGTCAACTGATGCGAATTCTTACCAGCACACGGTTATACACTTTATCTCTTACAGTCTCACAGATATTGTTCAACTCTTCCTCGGTTATTTCCTCTACTGGACGAATAATATGGGGGAAAGTCATAGGACCACAGCGTTTTCTTCTGGGAGTATCCATTTCATCCTAAAGTTGTTAAAAAAACAAAACCCCAAACACCATCAGTGCTTTTGAAATGAAGCTCGATCACCACCTGCAAAGGCCTGGGTTGCGTATGTGGACATGCCACTGCATTTCCTACACAATAAACAAACACTCTCCATGTGTGCAACTGCTACGATTCCCATATTAATTACAACAAACTATTACAGTTGTGGATACTGCAGGTAGTCAGCTACACATGGACTTCTGGTTAAACACTATTTCATTCGCACGGTCCATGGACAAGCCCAAGGACCTATGCAGAAAATATTATCACCACCAGAGTACTTAAGAACTATCCCTACTATTCTCAACTCAGAGGATCCCTCTCTCTCAAACACAGTTTGGAGGGTTCCATTCCAACAAAAGAAACCTCAGTCTTACTTGTTTGGTTAATTATGACCTACATTACTATTTTCATGTGAAGAGCTAGTCTTTAACCTGTATTTTAAACCACCCAAACTAAGTTTCTATTTTAGATGCTTCCACCAATTAAAACACTTAATTAGAATAACATCACCAACACAAACCTCAGAGAATTCACTGGATGTTTTCCTTCTCACCAAGATGTAAGGATCTTCCTCCTCCTCATCTGGTAGGGGACTTGGGGGGCCTTCAATCAGAGACCTGGATCTTGTGTGAGGCCTAGAACTTCTTTCTGGATTCCTTCTTAGAGCACTTCTGGGAAATGACTTTCTTGGGGACCGCCGTGGTTTCTAGGGTGTAGGCAAAGATGATCCAAACAAAGAATTACAATTTACACTTTCTATTGGTTACAGTCCTGTGTACTTTAACAGTTCGTTACTATACAATTATTGGCAGTAAGTTCTATGATGCTGAGGCTTACCTCCAGTGCCAAGGGCTATAGCCAAAGGCTCAACTGAGATAGTTTGACAAACCATAGTCTAGTCTACTCAACATACAGAACACACATGATTTGGAGTAGTTTTCCTGCTATCATTTTTCATCTCTTCAGTGCTCACTTAACAATGCAACTGCCTCTGAAATATTTGAAGTTCAACTTCAAATAATTGAAGTTTCCGTAGTTCATCAACTTGGACAATAGACTAAACCAGCCTTCCCCAACCTTGTGCCTTCCAGATACATTTGGACTGCAACACCCAGAATTCCCAGGCAATTTGGCAGTTGCAGCCCAAATGCCTCTGAAGGCCACCAGGTTGGGGAAGGCCGCACTAAACCATAGTTAAGCTTCTTTCACAATTATGTGACACAAACTAGCAGGCTAATTTTCATCCATGAAGACTGAAGTCTAAGCAAAATGCAACTGAACACAGACACAAATGGCGCTCAGTCAGCTGGCAGCATTCTGCAGAGTTTTCAGTTGGCTGACCAACAAATGGTTGCAATGTATGAAGGTGCTATGATGCCAACAGCATCACAGCTGGTCAACCAAAAAGGCCTCCCTCTGCCTGAGCTTTTCAGATCATCTGGAAGGCCAGGCAGGCTGAAGGGCCTAGGCAAGCCAAGCTAGGTGAAGCAACAGATGAAGAGTCAGTTTAGAAGTTAAGAAAGTGCAGACCAAAATTTGCCATAGGGGGCAGGGATCCTAGGTAAGGAGAACTGATGAAGAACTATGCACAACAGAGGAGAGGAGGCTAGGGCTGGGGAGGGCCCGAGCTGGTTCGGCATCTACTGGTAGACCTCTGGATGCTTGGCAGTAAATCGGCAAGAGTTAGGGGCACCACAATGGAGAAGACCCTCTCTGCTTAGCTTCCTCTGCAGGGGTACCCAGAAGATGACCTCAAAATATGATCTAGTGGCCTGAACAGGTACATACAAGAGGTCACATTTCCTTAGATACTCTGGCCCTAAGCCACGTAAGGCTTTAAAGATCAACAGGCTTTGAATTTGGTTCAAAAGCAGACTGGGAGCTACTGCTACTGCACCTGAGAAAGGACCGGCGTCGCACAATTCCACCAACCCATCCTGGTCAGTAACCCAGCTGCTCTGTTTGGAATTAAGTGAAAGCTTCGGACGTTCCTGAGCCACTTCAGAGGTCGTCTCTCCAGCGATAGTCTGCAGTCACCAAACCAAGAGGCTGCTAGACTGCACAGCCAGCAACTCCACGGAGGACAGGCTGATCACTGCTCAGCAGGGCAGGTGAACTACGTGCTCACAGTACCTTCATCTTGTGTGGACTGTTTCAGTTTGCTAGCTGTCATCCAGTCTATTGCCCTGCTCAGGCACTGACTCGGGACATCTACAAAGTATTATTTTAATACTTACATGCATGTTTATATATTAAACAGAAGTGCTGAAATGAAAGGTGAAGGGACAAAAACTTTCCCTTCACCTTTCCCTGGATGTGGTTTGTTTGCGAAAGGTCTGGTGACTCTTTTCCTGATACTGACTGCAATTTCCTGGGCTGCACAAACACTTGCAGGCACCTTGTTCTTCAGTTTTTAGTGTATACCCACCTGCCTGGGCCATTGTTTTGCCTTAGAGTCTGGCTGGCGAGTCTCAAAGTTCTAGTAAACAAAGCATATTTCACAAGCCTGAAGTGTGCCCACTCCTGGGCAAAACAAAAGTATCTTGACAGAGACGAAACAGCGGCACAAGAAAGAGGAAGCAGCAGCGGCAGCAAAAAGTAATAAGCTAATTGTGTCAAAGTTGCACCCACACTGAAAGAAAAAGCCTAGTATTTCAGTTGACACTATTTCCATATCCACTCAAAAGGGATATATATTTCACCACTACAGGCATTAGGATAATGAGGACTGAAACAAAATCAAAACCTGCAGAGATTTACTATTATGGTCAAATAGGCACTTCTCATTTCTAACTCAAGATTCAAATTTATTTTGCACGCATAAGCTAAAAAATCCAGATTTGAAATTTGAGGCCAAGGCTAATTTTTGCTGTGTTAGTGAGCAAGCGTGTGTTTAAAATATACAACTGAACAGGACCTTGCTTTATTTATTTTAGATAAGGAAGCTTTCAAGTGAACACAGAAGTTTTAGAGAATGACAAATCAAACAGTAGGCAGAGCAGGTGGCAAGGGTTTTATTATACTGTAAATTTTAATTTATTTAGCTTATCAAGATCACTTGCCACAGGGCTTAAAAATCTCAACAACTGAATTGTACTAAGTAAATAACTATGACTCACAGTAGCAGGGGTTGCCAGTGGAGTTTTCCTAGTAAAAATTCCAGGGACATTTTTTAATTCCGCCATTAGTTTAGCAAGCTGTAAAACAAAAGTAGAAACAAATAGCAGAATCCCAGGAAGTCTATGATATTGCATAATTTCAGTAAAGCACTAATTAAGAAATATATTCATTTTCAAAATCAACACAAACGCTTTATTAAAAGTCACTCTCCTAAAGAAATATCCACCAATTCCAGTAATTTATGAGGATCCCAGTAATTCTCATGACTACAGAATCAAGTGTAAATGTGGAACAGGACCGTTCTTATTCGGGACTTAGCATTCCTGAGACAATACCTGATTAAGGCCAGCCTGAAACTGATTATTCAGAAAGGTTCCTCAGTTTAAGGGACCTTTAAAATAGGCAAGATGGGCGATACTGAAGTATTTGATACACAACATAGCACTGTTACAGCAGATGTCCAGATGCACAGGGATAGGTTCCATGCCCTCCAGTGGATACCTGAAGCCATAAATAGGAGCAAACACTACACTGCACATGCTGCACATACCTGTGATAAGGTTTGATTTATAAAACTAGGCACAAGAAGACACTGCGCTACAAGCCTAGAAAGCACCAGCTGCATCAGCAGGGCTGGCAACCCGCCTGCTACCCTGCTGCTTCCAGATCTCCACCTACCAGCTCATCCCTCCTCTCTCCTGTCCCCAACAACAGGCCTCCTCCTGGGTGCTGGTCCCCCACCGGCCCGCGAGGGAGCCGCTCCTCCAGCTCCCTCAGCCCTACCACCCCATCCAACGCGTGTACGAGACCATGCAAGATCATCGGACTCCAGTCAGGCAGCAAGAACGCGGCTGCTGAGCCAGCAGATGTGGTGGTTCTGCTGTAGATTGTAATTTTAGAACTTCATAAGTTGTCTTGTACTTGTTAGTACAGCTGTAAGCTTCATGCTTGAGAATATTCCTTTATACTTACCATGGCCTTATTCTCCTTTATATTTAAAGCTCTTTTCTCTAAGAATTTGGGACCTCTTTCTTCATCAGAGTCTGAATCCACATCTAGTTCAGAGGAAGATTTGGGGGCTGAAATGATTTCACTCTTTCCCCTTTTAGACCTTCGAAGTGGGAACTTCATAGCAACTTTAAGAGGAACAGAGCGTTTCTGTGACCTCTTTGGCAAACAATTATCTTCATCATTGCTCATATCATTTTCCTCAGAGTCTGTCTCCAGTTTCTATTCAAAAGCAAAAAATTGAGTTATGAAATCCAGTCTCTGCTGCCAATAGGATGCACAATTCCAATTTTTCCAGTCTATTCCAGTTTCCTACTGCACAGCTTGCCTTAGGGAACAATTCTATGCACATCTGGAAAGAAAGAAGTCCTCCAATAGCCAGCGTTCTTGAACCAGTACCTAGTTAAGGCTGGCCTGAAACAGAATGCTGGAGGTTGTAGGACGCTTCTTTTATTCTAAGGTGGGTGGGATTGTGCCCTCAAATGGACATTTATATTTCAAGTACATATCCTATCTCTGTTTTCTTGGTTACCTTCTTTTGCCCTTCTTCAGCTTCAAAGCCAAAGGTATTTATTTGGGAAGAGCCAAAACATACTGTACTGAATCAAACAACTGGATTCTAGCAACCAGACCCCATGCTGTTCCCTCACAGGCCTCCCTGGAACCATCACCAATGCCAGAGAGCCAAACTGCATTTCCAAAGAGTTATCTGGGACCACATTCCAGTGACAGGCAGCCCTTCTGAATGCAAAATGCAAAGGCTGATTTGTATTTTGTTATTTATAAAAATACAAAGCACTTTTACTGCCAGTCTGCAAGCTTTCAAAGAGTATTTCAAGTTTTCCAAAAAGGAAAAAATGTATAAAAGCAGGGAAATCACAAAACCATCAGCCAAAGGGGATGTGGCAGTTGGGGAACCACCAGGGGCAGCACTGAGGAAACACCTGCGGAGGAAACCGAACTTTTTCAGTTAGGCCCGTACTTGAAGAAATAGCAGAGGGAAAGAAAAAGAAATAAACCTAGAAGTGGTGCCCAATAAACCTCAAAGCCAAACTTCAGGGGAAAGAAATAACCAGACATATGACCTTGCCCAACCTGGTATCTGTCAGATATTTAAGACTACAGCTTCCAGCATTCCTGACCACTGGCCATGCTGGCTGGAAATGACGGGCGCTGAAGTCCAACAAGTATCCAGAAAATAACAGGCTGCAAAAGTCTGTCTTCTGCTTTTAAAGAAAAGACACAGTCTCTTGAATTGGTGAGCACCAGGGTTGCAGTATGGAAACCAAGTAAGGTGAAGACGGACAGCAGCAATCGCTCACAAGGAGCCAGTCACATGTGAATATATGGCTTTGGAATTCCAGGCTTTGGTGGGCTTTTTGCCCACTCCAGGATCAAGGGAAGCGGGTGCCAGTCTATGTGGGTGGATCATGATGCTGGAGGAGCCACAACTGGTGATACGCTGCCTACTTTGCATGCAGAAGTACGCACTGTGCTTGCAGCCTTACCTTACTTTGCAGGTAAGGCCGCAAATGCACCTGCCTGCAGCCTTGGAAAGCTGCTGCTTGCTAGTCAGTGTCACGACCACTGGGCTGCATCAACCTAACACTCAAGGCACTCTAAGGCAGCTTTCTATGTCCCTGTGAATATTCTTGTATCAACATGTACATTCAGTTTCACAGTGATTAGCAAGGTAAACTGTACTACTCACTAGTGCCTCCTGAATCTCACTTCTTGAAAAGCCACAGAATGACTCATTATCTGAATCTTCATTAAAAATTTTAGCCATTCTTTCTGCAACTTCTGGCCTTAAGCTTGGTTTCTTAAAAACAAAACAAAAAACAAATATACTAGCTCTTTCAATTCTTTCTTTCTCTCTCTCTCGCTCTCTCTCTGTGTCTCCTTCTTTTTAAAAGAGAGAACCTATTTTCCATAAACTGCTCAGAGAGCAAATCACATTTTACAAGTGCACTACAAGAGAATAGCTTTTGTAACAAAGAAAAATGGTTCAGGGGGTTTACAAATGGCTTCAGAGCTGTTATGGCAAATCATCAGGCATGTTAGGTTAGGCGACATTTCAAAAGGATAGAATAAGTGGCTAATCTACCTCCAACAATTACTACCTAGAAGCACAAGGGAAAAAGTGAAATGAAATTACAGTACATACCGTATATTCATAACTGCTGTATAGAAATGTAAGCAAAGCATTTTAATCGCATATGGGGCATTTTTCAGCATCGCACGTTCAATTCTGTTTATTCTTACGCTTTTTACTTACCGTGTTTGCAAAATTATCAGAGCCAAAACTGTCACAGCTGTCATCAGAGGATGAAGAGGTTTCCATAGGAATCAGTTTGGTATTGCGGAATGCTGTGGACTTCCGTCCTGTAAGGTCACTCTGCAAAACGGATGATGGCAGTTCAATTAGTGACTATAACAAGGTAGGTTCTCTGACATGACCTCATGAAGCTCAGATACAAAGAGTTGCTACATATTCCTTTGGCATGGACATCGTCAAATGGATATGAATTTTTTGTTTGTGTCACACTGACACACACGAGCGAAACAGGTAAGCAGTATTTGTTAAGCAGTGGGCCCTGTCGCGATACTCATTTACAAAGCAACAGCAATCTTAAGAGACATGAATTTAAACGTTATAGGAGTTCAATACTCCACAGTCTAGATTAATACAAAAATATTGGTTAAGATTTACATGTCTGAAACTTAAAAATATCCATCAAAACAATGTCAGAGCAACGTTTTCTAAAAGCACCTATTTTCTAATGCAATTCAAGTACGGCTTTCCTTGTTACATTTGCCCAGTGGACAGTTCACATGACCATGTAGGCCACAGCTTCAAGGTTTCTTCACAGTCAAGCTTCCAATTATTTCCAACTACTTTAAGCCTTTGCTCAGCCAGTGACTAGTCAAAAGCCAAATTTATCTTCCAGATACACAATCACTTCAGCACAGATAAAAAGAAAAGTTCTCTGAACTGGTTCTTACTGCAATTTAGGACAAAAGGTCTTATCTGTTGGCCAAAAACAAAAGAGCCACTAAACTGACCAGTAAGAGATGCTAAGAGAGTTATCCATGCAAATCCCCTGCCTCAAATATCTTTCTATCCATATCAACCCTTCTTTGTGATTGCTTATCTACTCCACCCAGGAACACATGATACATTTCCCCCTCCAGCTGCAGGTAGAATTTCGGTTGCAATTTTGTATACCAGGAAGGAGGAACTCCAATTCCTATCACTCCTAGTTGGCCTGGACTGTGGAGAGGGATAAGACTAGTAGTTCATCAACACAGCAGAGATGTAGATCCTCACCCATGCTAAACTGTATAGAGCCAAGACATGTTCTTCAGTGCTCTGCAAATGCTCCAAATGTTACTTCCAAATAACGACTAGAAGTGATCGATCCCTGTACACTGGCACAAAAACCAAGGAGAATGGGATGTCATAGGTAAAGTCAGCATCATATACACTGATATATACTGCTCACAGAGGCACTTTACTTCGAGTAAACTTGCACAGGATTGCACTGTAGATCTACAGTCTTTTGAGAATCTGAACCTAAACGAATTCTCAACTTCAGCACAGAATGCCCCCTACAATGCAATCCTATAAATGTCTGGAATGAAAACAAAACTGGAAAAATGTTAAATAACAGACCGCGCACTATTACTTGCTCTTGCAGTAGGTAACATGAACACCCCTTTATTTCCATTTAATCTCTCCAACAAGTGAATAGAACTGGACTGAAATATTTGGCAAAGCAAACAATCCATATGATGTGGAATATTATATTTCACCTTTTTGCCCTTTCAAGGAACTCAAGGCAGCTCACATTAATTCTCTTCTCTCAGTCTTATCCCCATGACACCAACTAGGCTGGGCGGAGAGTCTGTGCCTGACCCAAAATCACCTAACTGGCTTCGTGGCTGAGTGATGACTAGAACTCAGATCTCCCTAGTCTCAGTCTGTGCTGTTAACCGCAACACCACACTGAATACAATCCCCAAGGCCCCAGCCAAGTCATTCCAAAATATTTCAGAAAAGCATCCCGGGTTACTGATTCCCCCATTCATAACAGTCTTCTTCACTCATGCATACCACAATTTAATGGTGCATGGTTATGAGTAGGTACATTTAAAATTAGGGTGCAGGGCAAGAAAACAAAAAGGAAGAAAGCCACTGTGGTGCAGTTGTTAGGGTAAAGAATTAAGATCAAGGCAATCCATGTGCAAACCGCCATTCAAACATGATGCGGACTAGAAGGCCTTGACCAAGTGTGCATTATCACAGCAAGGGGAAGGAACTATGGCGGCTTACTTCCTACCCTACCCCATATATACAAGGGGGATCTGTATCATTACCCCAACAGTATGGCTTAACCATATCCTGCAGAACCAGCAAAAGGGGTTTCCCTGCCGCAGTTAACAAGCCACCCCAAACCCTGGAACAACCCTTGGGTTCTGGATGGCTTAACTGTGGCAACGAGTCATACTTGCTAGTTTCACGCAGCATAGCAAACTGTACCAGCTCAAGCAATTATGACAATCCCCTTTGCTTTTTTTACTTAACCATTTGCCTCTTCTGCTTATTCCCCCCACTGTGATCATGCACACAAAGCAAGCCACTCTCTCAGCCCACCCTACCCCATGACTGGGGGAATAGAGCCATGTATGTACCCCTGTTGATCCCCAAGAAACATTTAAGTCTGTACAAGACAAGTCAGACCTTGGAGGAACTTCACATTGAACCGAAGCAGTCAAGAACAGCACAGGAGGCTTGATGACCTCAGTCAGGACTCAACCTGGCTTTGCCTTGAAATCTGTCATCAACTGGAGAGCTTCATCCTGGGGTATACTGCAGTAATAAAGATGCCAAACCCTACCTGTGAGGACAAGCCCATTTCTTTATCTTAGCAGTGAATAACCCTAACCACAACGGATCCCCATACATGCAAGACATAAACCTAGGTTCAAGGAATCAAAGGGGAAGGGCTTTTAGGCTTAAGAACAAGCCTCCTAAACAAGCCATAACGTGTTTATCACTTAAACTGCAGGAAGAAAGGGATTAACATTTGCACAAGGTGCAGTTCCTGGCTTGTATCCAAGGTTAGTTCTGCTCAGAAGCACAGCCAAGCTAGACTAACAGTGGGCGCAACCTCTCAGCGCTACATATTAAAAGCCACTTACAAGACCATCCTGCCAACAATCCATTGTCCCAACACTGCTCAGGAACGAACAGCGCGCAGCAGCCGTTCCCCAAGCGGCTGGGCAACTATGCGTGCTGCGGGGCCTTCCTCCCAGCAGCCCTCCTCGCCCCATTTGCAAGCCCCAGCTGCCTTCACGCCTTGCCCCAGGAGGCCGCGCCACCCACGCGCTCGGCAGCCGCACGGGCCTCGCGGGCACTCCTGGGAGGGCCGCGCGCTCAAGAGCGGGAAACGCGCGGCCTCCGCCTGGCCTGCTTCCCCGCGGCGCTGCCGAAGCAGCACTCGCTTTCTCCATCTTCGGCGCTCTCCTCGAGAATAAAGAACATGGATAATGCGGCCCAGGAGAGCGCCTCGTGCAGCTCGTTTCTTCGGCCTTTCTTTTAGTCCGTCCGACCTTGGCCAGAAGCTTACGGCGGGAAAGCGATCTTAAATCAGTCTTGGGGAACACAGCACAGCGAAGGGACGAGGCTTTTTTTTTGTGGGGGGGGGGGTTATTTGGCACGGCAGGCTGGAGCACAAACGGCTGCTATCAATCTACAGAGTTAAGGGCTTAAAAATCTCCCTCATCATAGCCCCCCATACACACTGCTGTTTAAAGATTCAGTAATATTTCTGCGAGTTTATTTCTTCCAGTACTGCCCGGCTCCAACTTCAGCATGCATAAGATTATGATTTTAACACCTTGCAGACTTTTAAAAACAAGACTCTGTGGCTAAACTGAAATCTGTTTTGTCTTAAAAGTGAAGCACGGGTTAAAGGCTCGCGTGCATCAACTTCGGCAGCAGACCCAACAATCGGAACTACAATTGGTAGATGCTAAGAAGACAAAAGGCAACAGCACACTCCCCTCCAAGCTACTTCTGTCTTCAATAGTATTTGGTGCCGAAGTTGCGCAATAATGCAATCTTAAAATTGCTTGAGAAAAGCCAAATGAACACAGTGGAAATGCTTCTGAGTGGGACGTGCAATCCAAAGCACGCTCATGGCAGAAAGGCTTTCTTTCCTGCAAGTAAACTTATATGAGATGGCTGGGCATATAAGCGAAGAGCAAAAGTCACATTACTCCAGTTTACGTTTTTAATGCCGCCCCCACTCTTTCAGAATTCATCTCCGCGCTGGACGCAACGCTTCTACTGGCCTTTTTCCCCAGCTGAGTAATCTAAACTAATTCAGAAAATACACTTTTTGTTGCTGTTCGAGGAGTCTCAGCAGTTGTGGCTGTTCTTCCCCCTCCCCACAGCTGCCCAATTCCCCGCATCTTGACTTGAAAGTCACTTCCATTGATTTAAATGCAACTTATTCCTAGGTAAGTAGGGCTCCATTCCCTTGGACTCACTTACCTGCAAACGGAAAGGATCCATGATGATAGCAGAATTGAGATTCGCAGGACGTACCAGCCTTTCTAACCTAGACGTAGAAAGAAGGAATCAACACGCCGCAGACTCGCGCCAAAGCGACTCCGAACTCGCCGGAGGCGGGGATTGGGAGTCGTTTTCCCGCGAAGATGCGGGAGTCCTGGAAGGGGCAGAAAAAAATCTTTCCAGATGATGCTTTTGGCTAACCACCTGGCCTTCAGTAATATAGTCCCCGAGTTATCAGAAAGCCTGGATGCAGGTAAAGTAAAGACGACTGTGGAAACTTGCCGTTTTTTCTGTTAAAATGTTGCAATTAGGGTTGTGGTGCTGCCAGGACCTAACTCAGTGGCGCGAAATAGTAATGAACTATTTGCATAGGAGGAGGGTGAACCGAGGGAGCCTGGACTACAACACGCCTGCGGGAGGAATCCGTCTTTGCGTTACTTTAGGTAACAAAAACCGAGTTAGGTTTTCTAAATTGTAGTGAATCTCTGATTTGTTCATAAATACCAGAGAGAGATACTACACGACTCTTCTAGCAAAACGCAAAAACGTTCGCATAATCGCAAGGAATGGAAGCACTTCATAGATGAATGGGACCTCTAGCAGAAGCTGATTGCTTTTTGATTAAATTGCATTAGGGAGCCTCTCTATCAACGGTGGAGCACCCTATTAAACGAGTTTTAAACTCGTTTTTAATAACTGCATATAGCGCCGTAGTGCAATTTCATAAGCGCAATAAAACATTTCTGAAAGTACAGCCACCTTCTTACACGTACTGCAATGTTAAGCAAGCATATGGTTAGAGTCCAGATGAAACGGAGTCGCCAGTCCTGGAACTTGCCCTAAATGGATGACCAGAAAATCGAGCGCACTGCTTTTAGAGTTGGCATTTTCTCCAGCAGCATGGGATGTTTACCTTTGCAAGGAAGAAAGCACACTGTTGAAACTCTACAGAGTTCAACTGTAGTTGTACGTCAGTACAATGTTCCCCGGGATTGCCGCCAAGATGCAAATACATTTCGAAGTAAAATGCCAGTATTTTACCGCATCAGCCTCGCTTGCTGTATCATTTACTAGCACTGCTTTGGAGACGAGCAAAGGCAGGCCGGGACTGCACGTGTGCGGCACACACAAATGCCACATAATCTGTAACACGAACCAAGAATGATCGGAAAAGCGGAGTCCCAACCAGGCGGAAACACAATAGAATGCGGGGAGTATGTAAACTCTCCGTGCGTTTTATTCCGTGTGAGCGTGCGTCAGGCTGACGTGTAAAAGAATCTCCATTTTCAATAAGCCCTTAATTACATACTTACCTGCATCAGTGGCTTCTCAGAGCGCACGCAAAAGCAAATGAACTGAAAAGGGCTCTCTAGAGACTAGAGCCGGGCTCGCTTCCTTCCTTAAATCCGCTTTAGCTCAGGAATGCTTTTCAACTGGCAGAGAAATGGTTCTTCGCCGTGGGCGCTTTAAGTCGCCAGGAAAAACTTACCGAAACTATTTTCAAAAGGTGGGGAGGGGAATGTCGGAATTAAAATATTTCAGTTAACCAAGGCTAGTTACTGGAACTGCTAACAAACAGCTTGCTCTTAGGAATATCGTGGGAACGATGCAGCCCCTAAAGCGGTCGTACCTTGTTCCACTCATTTTCACTGGAAAGTTTAAGCATGGTAGACATTAAGGGCTGTAACCTAATGTTAGTCCTTCTTGGAGTAGACCAAATGATATGAGTGGGACCTAAGTTAGTTATCTCAGTGGGTCTATTCTAAATAGAGCTATCATTGGATGCAACCCTGTTTAACATAGGAGTGTGTACTTTATGAACTCCAATTGTTGTTATGTGGTGTCAGGTTGCTCAGACGACCCTGTGAATGAAACTCTCCAAAATGTCCTTTCCATGGCAGCCCTGCTCAGCTCTTGTAAAGCCAAGGTTGTGGCTTCCTTTATGGAGTCGATCCGCCTCATATTTGGATGAGTCCCAATGCCTGTTAAGAACTTCAGCACAGCCTCAACTCCAAGTTCCATCTTTATTTGAGAAGAGTTCATTAGCTTTGTTTAGGAAAAGGTCTTTACAACTGTTTTCCTTCAGGGAATCTCTGAGCACATCCCATCTGGTTGGCAGGAAGGGCGACAAATTGCATCTGCACTATCTATAGATGTGTGGTGACATTCAGTTTCTCCTGCCAAGGAACATTTTGTAAACAGCACACCTGTTACTGCACGTGGTTGAAGGTTCTCCAATACATGCTGAATTTTGGATATATTTACCCTGCAGTAGCCTGTTCAGTAGTTAAATCAAAGCCAAGAAAATGTTCTTTGGGTCAAAGCTGGTGCCCTGAAGATGTTTGGGAGTACAGCTCCCAGCATTCCTGATCATTGGCCATGCTGGCTAGGGCAGATAGGAGTTGAAATCCAAAATGTCTGGAGGGCGCAGGTTGGGAGAGAAGCACCAATAGTGCAAGCAAGCTTTGGCGGCAGTGGCAGGCGCGGTGCTGGCATATAGAGGGCTCTGCAGGAAGCCATACCCACTTATCTAGGGGCAAGCCCCGTTGAACTCAATGGGTCTTACTTCTGAGTGGGTATGTACAGGATTGTATACGTACATTTACCTACTTTCGCCCTAGAGATGCAACGGATCCCCTCTCAGAGCGGGCAGATGAGCATGGGAGAATGCACCCTTGGCAATCGCATCAAGGCACCCAAAAGAACCAATAGTATATCAGAGACAGATACCAAATCATAGGCAACCTGGGACTTCCAGCTATCATAACCCCTGACCTTTGTCCATGCTGCCTGAGCTGAAGGGAGTTGTCCAAAAGAACTGGAAGACACTGGGTTGCCTAAGTTGTTTGAAACAAAGTCTGGCTAAGAGGCCAATAAGAAATGTTATAAGAATAATAGAAATGTTATAATAATACTAATACTAATAATAAGGATCTGATAAAAGGCCAGCCAATTGCACTAAGTAGCAAGGTGGCCATGGGCCCTCTTTGGCAGAAGGTAGTCCTTGGCTTAGCCTTGCAGGGCTATCTGATCCGAGTCCACTATCAAGTGTGGTGAGGAGGAGTCAGCCTGGAAGCCGCTCTTTGGCGGTGAGCCCTGCCAGCACATTGAACCAGAACACCTAGCCTACCTTGAGGAGATGTGCTGTCTTCCTATATAAATTATAATTGCTTCTAAATTTGCATCAATGCATAGCAATTAGCATGTGCAAATTTTATGCAAATTTGGTTTCATGTTTTGACCTTATATTGAATGATGCATTTATTTATTACAAACATTTATATCCAGTCCTTCCAACAAGCGCTCAGGATGTCTTACATAATATAAAATTACAATAATACAGTAATAAAACCACAATCATTAAAACAATATAAAACAGGACATCATAAACGAAGGAAAAAAAGAAAAGAGAGGAAAAGAATAGAAAATGCGACTGTGGTGAAGGAAAAAAAATCTTACAACATCTAAAACCCTTGATTATTAAAATGATGGTTGAATGAAAAGGTCTTGACCTGGTGCTGGAAGGAGTATAACATCGGCACCAGGCAGACCTTTCTGGGGAGCGCATTCCATAGTCTGGGCACCACTGCGGGGAAGGGTGTCCTCCTTCATAATTCCTTCATGTGGCCCATACTACTAGGTAAGAAACTGGGAGCTCATCTTCTGTTTGGTTGCTAGTATTTGATAATCTTGTAGAGAGAAGTAAATGCTTTCTATATTCTTCTTGGATGTTGTGAGCTGCCTTGAGTGTCTCACAACTTTTGCATTTTTAAACTAACAAATATTATTGAGATGAAAAATTGCACAAAACCTATAGAGGCCCAAAGTAGAAAATAACAGCCCCTTCATGGATAGAAGTGTGAAAAAGTTAGTATTATAGAATATTGAAAGCACAGCGTTGTGAAGTTTGACAAAGCTACATATCAACGTTGATATATTGTGTTACCTTAGACGTTTAAAATATGTATAAGTGTAGTAAAGCTAAGCATATGTTCTGCTGGTAAAGCTAAGCAAACTGGTGTGGAAGCTACCTGGAAGGGAATCCAGTATAGCTGTTCCAAACTCATCAAGACATGTAATAAAGCTACATATGTAATAAAAATGAAATATAACAAATAGATGAGAATACATATTGCTGTAAAACTTTAATATAAACATAAAGCGAATCAACAGGGGACAGGCTGTCATATGGATCAGCACCAGACTAACCCTGACAGTCAAGCCCCTTCATTGGTTGGTCCATAACCAAATGCTAGCAGGTGAGCAGCTGTTCCAGTCAGAATAAAAGAGGCCAGACAGGAGCCCTGTGAGAGCAGGGCTGCCATGGGGGCCAGATCAGCAGATTCGCCTGAAAATACTTTTGCTGCAGCCACAGACTGTTGCCTGGGATCCCAGCCACCCAGGCTGTCCCCAGAATAATGAATGGTTCCAAGGGGGCTCTTTTTTCCTGCTGCAGTGACTTCAGTGATAAGGGGCTGATGCACTCAATATCTTCCACCCGTCTCTTGGGGCCTGAGGCTGGAGCAATGATCTTCCTCAGAGTTGGTGTTGGGAGGGCAAGGAAGGAAGGAGCAAGGAACTAGCACCTTACAAAGAACCCTGGCAGGGCCACTGGCTCCTCTCCTCGCCTCTCGCCTCGCCTCTCGTCTCCTCTCCTCATAAGCCAATGGAAGGTCCTTAGCTGGCTGGAATTGGCCATCCAGCTGTCTTGGAGGATAGAAGATGTCCCAAATCCTCTGAGTTTGGAGGGTTATGGGAAAGCACACTGATGGCTCCTGAAGTAATTTTGGGAAATGCTGTATCACACAACCCACCCAAGGTGTTTCCAGACAAGGCTTTTGATCATGCTATTGGACCAGCCGTGCTCAGAGATTGATGTGGATCTGGATGTTATGTTCTACCCATAGCCCTGCTGTGTGTTCCTACCACTGCCTCCGTCATTTTATTTAGGAAATCTATTATTCTGTTAAGGGAAATAGATTAAGGAAAATAAGGAAAAATTAAAACATTGCAGCCTGATGCCTTCTAACA